ATGCCTCTCCAGAAGGCCCGGGGAAACAAGGGGAGAAGAGGAACAGGCATGTGCCTTTTCCTCCTCCTCAACTTGCACCATCCCTGGCCTTCAGATGCCTCCAGAGAGGCAGCTGGAGGCTGAGGAGGGTGGGGAAGGAGGAGGAACAGGTGTGAGCCTCTTCCTCCGCATCCTCATCCTCCGTGTGCTGGGGGGAATGGCTTTGTGTGCCTTCTCTTGCACATGTGCCATAGGTTTGCCATCATGGCCTTAGTCTTTTTCACACTATTGGAATCTTTCTGTTTCCAGTGCAGTTCAATGAAACTAATTGACTGGATGATAGTTCTTCATAATCGTGCTTGACTGACTATTAATATATGTAATCAAGTACATGGTGTTTGTGGACTAGGGGTGTTTCATTATTTCCAAGCCAAGATATACAAGATATACAAGTTAAAAAGCCTTGGTCACAAGACAGATCTTTGGAGAAGCCTCCATTTTACATTCAAATGAATTCTTGACTTTGAAATAATATATTACAACCTAACAAGAAAGAACTGATTATTTATTATTAGCTATTATTATTGGATTTGTTTATATCATGCCTTTTGCCCAATATTGGTGCTTGGCAAATTATAACTTATTAAAAGAAGTTACAGATGAAAAACATATAAAAATATGCATACACACATATATGAAGTTTTTCTATGTTTCAAATGTTGTTGTTGTGTGACTTCAAGTTGTTTCCAACTTATGGTGACTCTAAGGCAAGCTTTCACTGGGTTTTCTGGGGCTGAGAAGGTATAACTTGCCCAAGGTCACCCAGTGGGTTTCCATGGTCAAGTGGGAATCAGACTTTGATCTCCAGTGTCCTAGTCCTACACTCAAACCACTACACTACTTGGATCTCATGTTTTAAATATAATTGTTGTTGTTGTGTGCCTTCAAGTCATTTCCAACTTATGGCGACTCTAAGGTGACCATAGGGTTTTCTTCACAAGTTTCATCAAAGGGGAATTTGCCATTGCCATCATCTGAGGTTGAGAGAGTGTAACTTGCCAAGGTCACCCAATGGCATTACATGTCTGAACCAGGATTCAAACCCTGGTCTCTCAGTATCCTAGTCCAATGCCCAAACCACTACACTATATTAGCTCACTTTAAATATAAATACATATAATTTATGTATAATTTAAATTTATGTATATATTTAAAAACATTTTATAGAGTGAAACCATTTAAAAATCATTAAAAGTCAAACTATTAAATAACAACAAAACAGTGCACCATTAAAAGTCATTCACAATCACTTCCTAGATGGCTGGTGGAATAGGAAAGTTTTCACTTGCCAGCAGAAGGAGAGTAAGGAGAATTTCATCCTAGACCCCCTTGGGAGCAGCCATTGAGAAGGCCCTCTCCATTGTTCTCATCAAATGAGCCTGAGAAGGTGGTGAGACAGAGAGTAGGGCCTCCCCAAAGATCTTAGAGTCCAGACTGGGTCAGACTGGATATATGGTCCTTCAAAAACCCTGACCATATGTAGACTATATGTCAGAAGAAGTAACTGGCAAAACCATATTTGAGGATTCCTTGCCTAAGATTACTATATGAAATTACAGGGTCATCATAAGTCAACAGATGATCTGAAGAGACATACACACACAAGGTGAACCTATCATGGGGTTTTCTTGGCAAGATTTGGTCAGAGTGGGTCAGACAGGGTAGGATGAAACTAATGTGATCCATGTGGCATGACATTTACTGTTACTTATGCTCTTTATAGTCTCCATCTCTGTCACATTTCTGAGAATAGCAATGGGTGGCAGAAGGAGGTAGATCTAATATGCTTTCCCTTGCTCTCTTTACTTGTGAATTAGCAGGGAGTAGAAAAGTACCATATTTTCCGGTGCATAAGATGACTGGGCGTACAAGA